GAGAGAGTTAAAGCAGAGTAGTGTGGGTAAATACGATCAAAATGCATTGTATGCCGTATGAAATTCTCTAAGAATTAATAAGACATTATATCATTCTAAAAAGCTAGTCGAGAAATCAGTATTGATGTGTGCACAGTGCTTTAACCTTCAGCAGAAAGCAAGAAGATAAACAAAGATGCCAACCTAGAACAGTTATTAATGAAAATATGATATGTGTATTGAAGGCATGCTAAAATTTGGAGTCTTGGAACATTCGTGGCATAATTCTACTCAGATTAGAAAATATTTCTACTTTTTAGTGGCTTAAATGATTTCTTTTTAATATTTTGAGACAGTTTCACTCTGCCACTCAGGCTGATATAGCTAAGGATAGCTCTCCTGGACTTGGATTACAGGAGTGAACCACACCATCTGTCTGCAAATGGTTAATAGTTTATAGTTGTGTAACATTTCATCACAGACTTATAGTCCATTAGATCTATTTTACAGCATTTTACACTTTGGGGTCCGCATCTGGGTCTCCAGAACCCATGCAAAAGCTGGGTGTGGATGTGTGTGCCCACAACTGTAGGGCTTGAGAGGCAGACATGATGGTCGCTGGGTTTGCTGAACACCAGCCTAGCTTCAAGTCCATTAAGAGACTATCTCAAAGGATTAAGGGCAGAGCTCTAGCAGGACACTTGAAGTCCTCTCCTGCACACACACACGCACACACACACACACACACACACACACGCACACACACACACACACACGCACGCACACACACACACACACACACATGCGCACACAACACTTACATTTTCCTGTCACCTTGTCTGCTGAGGTAAGGGCTCATCCAGCATCCAGAACTGTCTGTGGACCAGAATGACTGAAGCATAAATAAATACCTATAAAATAGATATATAGTTCTCATGTTTACAAGTGTGATCCCAAGAACGTTGCAGTCCTCCCAAACATGCAATCTTCCCGATAAAAACAAACAGCCACACTTCGCCTGCTGAGTGACTCACTCCTGTTCCTCAGTCCTCACAGAGAGACTATAGCACAATCAGTAACTCTCAAATGGTAGGTCTCTACTGTTTCCATGGGCCCATGATGGACCTCGAGGAGTTGACACCCCATGAGGTAGCTGAGCTCTTGATCTGTGATCATGCTGATAATTGTCTTTCCATTAAGATGTTGAAGGCTGTTGGATGTTCTTCGGATGACAGTGATGATTTCTAAATACTGGTGTCTTCTGGTGTAAAAAATGCTGGGGGGTGATGGGTCGAGGGGGAGAAAGAGAGAGCAGAGAATCCTAGCCTCTCTGGCTCCAGATAACATTGATGCTGCTGTTCTGATGTTCTAATAGAAGCTTGCCATGGACTTGGCGGAATTGCCTGGTATGGTGGATGCAATTTTGTAATTTGTATTTCTATGGATTGCAGCTGAACAGAGGAAAATGAGACCTGATCCTAGACCAGAATTTGACCCACCCTGGGGTTGGAGCAAAAAGGTGAGGCCACTAGTCACAGCCAGGAAGGCATTGCCTGTGCCCTTTCCACCTTGGTTGCTGCGACAGGAAAACCAGCATTCAGGCCAGAGAAAGTGACTTGGCCTAGAAAGAGTTAGTGGCAGGCCCAGGACCAGGGTACGGCTACAAGGGCATTCTACCAAGATGACCGCTAAGACGGGATCAGCTCCAGAGCATCAGGAAGGTGTGTCCATCGTCTCTTCCTTTTCTTGGTCAAGTGCACACCCTCCTCCAAAGCGGACCCCCTCCTCCAAATTAATCTCAATGGCTCAATCTCTCTCTCTCTCTCTCTCTCTCTCTCTCTCTCTCTCTCTCTCTCCCCCTCTCCTGTGTGTCTCTTTCTCGTGTGTGTGTGTTCCTCCGTCTCTCTCCAGTGTAGGTCACCGTTTCCCTGGGCGATTCCTGCAGTCTGCTCTTTATTGCTGTGATGAAATACTAACCAAATCCAACACAGGGGAGGAAAGGATTCATTCAGCTATAACTTCTAGGTCACCAGTCATCACTGAGGGAGTCAGGGCAGGAACCTGGAGGCAGGAACTCAAGCAGAGACCGTGAAGAACCCCTGCATCCTGGCTTGCTCCCCATGGCTTTCTCGGCTTGCTTTTGTAGACAGCTCAGGTCCACCTGCCCAGAGGGGGCACTGCCCACAGCGGTATTTCTTCTTCATGACCGACTTACATATTCATAAAGACCCAGGACCTGAGGAGTCCGTGAGGAGTCAGCATGGGAGAGCAATGACCAGAGGGAAGCAGAGCTGTGAAGAATTAGAGCGCTAACGGAGGAGTGAGGGGAGATGTGGCTGACTGATACTGCAGAGACCAAGAGGACCCTGCCTGGGGACTTGGGAACTTAAGAATCGGAAGGTTGGAGATGTGGAGAGAAGAGATTTTGATTCTGGCAGAGTTAAAAAGAGCAAAGCTAGGCTGAAAAGGGAGAAGAGAAGGAAGGGTGGAAGCCAGTGTTGGTGACGTGTGTCTTAAAACATGGCTCACAGACACAGCTGGGTCTCCACTTGAGTGGCTCCCATGTTTGTGGCCTCAACCACAATATTCGGCAATAAATTGGGTATATAATAGACATGTACGGACCTTTTTTCCCCCTTGTCATGATTTGCTAAACAATACATTGCAATGGCTGTTTACCTAGCATTGCATTGTGTTAGGTGGTATATGTAATCTACTGGTGATTTTAAGTGTGGAAACTTGCCTGTGTTATATCAAATGCTGTCTGTGCTAATCAGGGTTCTAAAAGAACAGAACAGTTAGGATGAGTACATATTACAAAGGGAGCTTATTACATTGGTTTACATGTTAGTTGATTTCACATCCAATCAAGACGATAGCTAAGATTTCACATAATCAAGACAATGGCATTTTCCATAGCACACTTGAGTATTTCTGGGTTTTGGAATTGGAGGTTCCTGGGACCAATCTCCCAAGGGTATCTTTTTTACATTTAACTAACTAATTAATTAATTAATGAGACGGGGTCTCCTGTATTCCAGACTGGTCCCAAACTTCCTATATATCTGAGGATGACCTTGAACCTTTCATCCTCTGGACTTCATCTCTGAGTATTGGGATTACGGGTATACACCACCATGCCCAGTTTATGTGGTGCTAGAAATGAAACCTAGGGATCCACGCTTGGCAGGCAAGCCTCATTCTACCAACTGAGACACACTCCCAAACCACACTTCCAAGGACATCCAGGGACAACTGAGTAAACTAGTGTCACCACACGTCAAGAGCTTTAAAATGCACAGCTCTTATCCCAGGATTTCATTTCTAGGCATGTTGTATAGAGGAAGATTTTGACAGAAGGCTGTTTATAACACGATAATTGTGAGGGGGTGGAGAAACCCATGTCAATGTTCAATACAGGATATCAAACATGAAATTCCATTTAACCATTAACATGATGGAGAACATTTAAACCCCTAAGATTACAATAGTATTTTAAGCCACATTTGGGGGGTATAAAACTATATTCTGAATGAGCCAAACTTGTAAAAATCAAAAATTAGAATGACTCTAGTTGTGTGTATGTCTACTTATACATATATCCATCTACCTGCCATCTAGTCATCTAACCCAATAGACGAAGAAACTCAGGGGGAAGCCTGCTAAGATATGAGTACTTAGTAGTTATCTCTTCACTGTGGGCTTGTGGGTAATATAAAAGTATTTTTCTATGTTCTCCAAATTTCTATAGTAATTATGAATCAAGCTTATAATCAAGAAAACAAACTTTTTAATGCTATTTTTTTTTTTCTTTTTGACATGGGATCTCAATATGTAGCTCAGGCTGGTTTGGAACCTGACTCAACCTCTCTGATGCTGGGGTCACAGG